AGTAAGTTATATTTTCATAAAGAAATAGTAATTTTTTTTTTAAACAAAGAAAAGTATCCAAAACTTGCTTTCCCTATTTACATTCTCGCCACCGTATATTTTCTGTGTGTACATTAGGCTGGGTCTATTTTGTATGGGGGAAAATAAACTGCATTTGACCGTATTATAATAGTAATATTATGATGTCTTATGTCTAAGCCGATTGTTATTGGCTACGAAAGATTAACTTAAAACTTATCTTTAGCCCGAGCAATTGAATCAAAGTGTATGAATTTTGAAAATGAAACTTTGGCTTGTAATATCTATGGAATGCGTTAATTGTTATAAACAGGACGATATATCAAATTAAGGGTTATTAAATTAGGTACCTCACGTTCATTTATCATTTTTCAATAAGTCTACAAGTTTTCTAGATATTAAGATAAAACTTACAAAAACTATAATTTTCCCTTATGAATTTTCAATTCTTCATTACTTCAGCAACCAAGTAAAAAATACAAAAAAGTGAGACGCGATTTATTTCAAACGTTTGAATGTTTTCGGATATTTATATAATAGTAAAAGGACCATGGGCTTGGTCACGCCGATTTGGTCAGTTTTCAAGATCGTGGTGAATCGTTTGATAAATTGATAGTAGTTTCAAGCATATAAGTATTTACAAACATTAACATAATATAATTAGGGCGAGAAACGACCATTTTAAGTTCTTTTATGTTCTCTTGAAAATTGGTGCGGAATTGTTTAATTAGTCACCGAAGAAGCACATTTTTCGCGGTTTCTAAATTTGCCGTTATATGAAAGTAGGGGGCGTGCAATAAGTGTTTAGATATACATAAATATTTTAGTTAACTCCATTATGTGAAAAAGTTACTGTAGGTAAATGCAATAGTCTTTAACATATCTTGGGAAATCCTTTTGAGCACTCTCCAATTGGACGATATTCCTTTGCATTCAGCTTGAACGAAAAAAGTCACTCCTTGGCACACTTTTCTGTAATCCGGTTCTTTCATTTAAAGGTTATTTATACAATTGAAGAGGAATTTTTTTAGAAAAAAACTTGAGATCCGCCTAAGTTTTTCGATATAACTTTGGTAAATGTTACTCGATCGGTACGTAATAATTTCCAAATTGAAGGCGAGACTTACTATTACTGATTTATGATAATAATATGATGAGAATCATTCAGATTATAAACAAATTATTTTGAAATAAAAAAAAAAATGTTGAACAATTTTTTTTTCATTTTCCTACATTTGCAATTCTTTTATTGTATGCATAAACATATGTAAACTAATTAGTGTTTCCAGAAGTTGTGTCTGTTAAGTGTTTCCATACTCATTTGCATAAACAAAACTTTTCCACGATGATGGAAAGTAAAGGCTTTTCTATTAGAGCTACCGAAATTGTTCCTAAATTTACAAAAATTCGCAAACTATAGCTAATATTTAAAAAAAAGGTTAGAATATTTGGAATCAGCGACCTAAATGCACGCCAGCAATATTAATGCTGTTCTTTACATCTTTCGACTAAAGGCCAGTGCAATTATCAAGAGAACAATTAAAATTTTATTAAAAACAGATACATTTGAGATTAACCATAAGCTAAAGGGCTACGAGAAATTATATTTGACTTTATCTTTTGCGTTAACGGATTCATTATCTAATAATATGCACCAAATCTTTTTGCTGAACCCAGAATTTTTAACAAGAATTGGTCTTATTCGACTAGTGTGCACTATGGGTCACTTGGCGGTCGATGCGCGGGCTCTTACAATTAAAATAAAAGACTAATATTTTGCAGGCTTGTTGTTCACTTCATGATACAACATATTTTCACTATTACCAAGGGATTTGAGAAAAATTTGATTTTCGACCCGCCCTAGTATATATTTTTGCGATCGTTTTTCAAGTTTTTTCTCCCTTTGTTTTGTTTTAAATAAAACTTATTAAAAGATGTTTATTCTAAAAACAAAATTGTTTGTTCGGATTCGACAATTTAGAAATGTCCCGATTTTTGGCCACAGAAATCTGTCCACCGTAACCATTGGTAACAAAGCATGAATGCCGTTTATGGCCAGTCGGTACGCTGTCGAGTCCAGAGGTTGTTTTATGAACGCTACGCTTCTTGCGGGGAGCATTTTGCGCCTCGTCATTTAGTTAGCTCGTGTTCTAGCGACATCACAAGGCATCTCATGGCCGGAGTCTTTGGCAGGTATGTAGCTTCATCCACTGCGTCCCGCTAGTTACCGGCGACCACACGGGCGCTGCATTGTTTAAAGCAGTGATGGGCATACTAAGTTAAGTACTTTTGTATTTAAAGTGCAGTACAAGTAGAGTAAAGTAAAGTGGGTACTAAATACTCAAATACTTAAATACTCAAGTAAGAAGTACTTAGGTATTTAGGAGCTGTTAGAAACTAAACAACTAAATTAAAAAATAACTTAGAGCTGCTGGATACTAAAGAACAAAAAATACTGTGGTGTGGATACAAAATACTTTCACTGAAGTACTAAGGTATTTAGTATAGATGGCTAAATTCTTACAAAATAAATAGTTTATCAGTTGCATTTTATGTACATTGGCCCAACTTTCAAGCTAAATATACTTTATGATATAGGAAAAATTGAAACAATTAACATTTTAACTTATGGCGTTTTCGTTTTTACAAAAAAATTTGCTTTCTCATCACCCTTCTTAGTGTTTGTGCGTAGAGGGCAAAGAGGAGGTTGCAGTTTTCGGTAGAAACGAAATTGACATTACATACACTCACATCAACACACCTTACCACAACTTACCTCGCCTCACCTTAAATCAACTCACCAGACACAAACTCATTATACCTCATTTAAACTCACCACACCTGATCCTACCAGACCTTACATCAATTTGGAAACTATTTTGGGATTTTAGAGATTTTCAGTATTCTCGGAACTAAATTAGGATGTTTAAGACTATTTCGGGGTTCTCGCAACTTTCGATACTAATTCCAGATTTCCGGGACTCCTCCGTGATTATTTTTACTATTCGGAATTCTCGCTATATTTCTGGATCTTAATATCGTTAAACTTATTTTGCAATCGTTATATTTGTCGATAATTTTATAGATATACTTATTGTTACCGTTATAATTATAGAAATAGGGCCTAGAATTCTAAAAATCTCGAAAATCTCGAAATAGTTCCGAGAACGCCAAAAATTCTAGAGACCTCGAAGTCGAAAATCTTAAAATATGCCCGAAAATCCCGGAATTGTCCCTGGAATCCATAAATATCACGAAATAAATTCGAAACCTCGTTATAGTTTCGAAAATCTTAAACATCACGAAACAGTATCAAAAAACCCGAAATTATTTATTTTTACACTGAGTAAATAGCAAGTATTTAGTACATTTACATTTTTATTTATTTATTTTATATTAGATTGAAAACATTAGTGCATTTAGATACAATCTTTACTTGCACAATGATAAAAACATATGACAAAAATAAAATAAAAAGTACAGATAATAATTAACAGGGAACGGATTTTATGGAAATTACCTTTTTTTCTGCTAAAGAGATAGAGTATATTCGATTAAGAATGTCCATAATTTAGCTTTACCTGATTCCATATATACACATTTGATGTTGCCTTTTTTTGCCTTTTTTAAGCTATTTGCCTTTTTTTGCCTTTTTTAAGATATTTGCCTTTTCTTGCCTTTTCTACCTTTAAAAAAGTTATTATAGCATTTAAAATTTTTTTTTTAAGATTAAAAAATAAACACATGCCCGTGCGGCTTATAGAAGCGTTAAGCGTAAAGGGCGAGGAAAACGCCCTTATTCCTGATAATATGAACGTTTCAAACTTTCCATATTTAAATTGGGCTCCACTTGTATCAACTTACGTCGAGCGCACATTTAGTACATTCAAGGCTTTTGTTCGCGAAAATCGAATGAAAATGCTGCCAGAAAACTTCAAAATGCATCTTGTAGTTCAATGTTACTACAACTATACAGATTAAAGTTTTATTGGTTAGAAACTCGAAAGGATAAAATAGTCAAAGATTCAAAGTACAAATTTTTCATATAATGAAACTAGTTCATAGTTTTTCTTTTTACTTGTAATATAAACATTTCTAAAATAAATTTATTTTTTCATTGTTCTTTGTATTTTCTGTCTTTTTTTAGTGCCATATTTTGCTTTTTTTGCAATACCTAGTGCCTTTTCCTGCCTTTTTCGCTATTTTATTTTGCCTTTTTTTGCCTTTTTTGCAACACCTAGTGCCTTTTCCTGCCTTTTTCGCTATTTTATTTTGCCTTTTCCAGCCTATTTCCTTATTTTATTTTGCCTTTTTTATAGGTTTTTAGGTCCTAAAAATCCGTTCCCTGATAATTAATAATACAATATAGATAAGGTAATGCATATGTTGAATTGCAAATCATATATTCTAAAATAAAAAAGGTAAGCTTATATTGATTGATATTATATTGATCACGCTCGGAAGAAAAAAAAGGGAAATATAAGTTTTTTGAAGTTGCCAATGTGCGACGCGTTCTTCAAGGACAGTGGAAGGGGGTTCCAGAGCCTTGCCGCATTAATAAAAAAAACAGTCTTGAAGTGCATAAACAGTTAAATCTCGGAAGAATGAGACCTGGCGAACGTGTACTCTTTGAGAACTTAAATTTATTGTACAGATATTCCGGGCTCTTCGCGATAGATAATTTGAACATAAAAATGCAATAACGCGCGTTCAGGAAATTTTGTAAATCACAGCCAAGTTTATAATTACGCATAGATGAGAGATTATCGTTTTTCTTTAAACCAAATACATACAAAAACCAATTCCGCACGCCATTATCGAGCAGTCGGGAGCATAAGAGATAATGGAGACTCCCTCTGGTGGTTGAGGAATCTTCGAGATATTGTATTAAATAGAGGCGCGCAAAGGACACCTTTGTTATATTTTTCTTGGTAGACTAATGTCTAGCACTCAGAGAGAGAGGACGCCATGCTCTATTCTAGTAGAATGGAGAGGAAGACTCTGTCAAACGTCTATGACATATCCAATGCTACTAAGACTGTCCTCACAAGGGTGGTTCTGGTTAAGACCTCGAGTTATCTTAGTGTTTATGGCGCAGGTTATATCTGGCACAGTTGAACCACGTTGAATTCCTATGCAGCTTCGTCTCTTGGACCGCAACTATCAGTATTCGAGTATCGATTTTATTCAGGAGTCCATTACAGTTGAATTGTAATATTTTCTTATGCCTTGGGACACTGATCGCAATATGGGGTGTTAGTGAGGTATGGTATTGCCTGCCGGACATTTGTTCCGTATGATGCTGTTGGCAGCACGCCTTGTGGTGGTAGTAGGCTGCACCGCAGAAGTGCTTGTGCAGCACTGCAACAAGGAAGTTGTTGCTCGTTCCTTCTCAAGTGGCGCCAGCCAAAACAGGAATTGCATCTGACTGATATCGCATTACGGTATATCCTGGACCGACACACCTAACTTAAAGTCTGAGAAACTAGGCGCTGTTGGTTTGTCCTCGCTCGTGAGTTGCCGCAGCGTGTAGGTGGGTTTGTGGTTGTGTTATGTTGTAAGGTGGTCATGTTGTGGTTGCGTCGCTCAGTTGACCTTCGGTCGTCCATTGGGGCAGTCTGGGTATTTGGTAGGACCGGTGCGTTATGTGTGTTGTGCGTCACTGAGGCAGCCATGTTATTTGTTTGGTTAGAACAGCACGAGGTCACAAATAACGTGGTCCATTGTCGGTGAGTTCTAAGGCTTGAGCAGGCTCTAAGATGACTCCATCCTTTGCAGGTAAAACGCCTAACTGAAATCGAGTTTGAGTGTGTTTGACATTATGCTATCCCTAAGAGGAAGAATGCGGAGGAGATATTTTCCCATCGACGAACAACGTTTTAGATATTCACGGACCTAAACAGGGTCAGGCCGCTGTTGGTCGATCAATGTACTCTCAGAATGCCGTACTTATATATATATGTTGTTAGCTGTTTACGATTCCGAGCCAGAATACTAAATGAATGAATTGAAAGTACTCGTTCAAACTACATGGTAGATTTGTGGAATTATTAAAAATCAACGCGATTTTTGAGCAACTTAAGACTTTCACCTTATTATGCCAGCATTTAATAAGCTATAAATCTGCATACCAACAAGTGAAGATAAGTTCGGTCGAAACCGAATTTTATATACACGACGCAGTTATCAACTATTGTCGTTCCAACTTTCGTTAAACTACCTAAAAGTATAAAACAGTCTTATTTATTGTTAAAAGATTGTTGTAAGTATTAACTTGGAGTAAATTAACGACGTCATTTATTGAAATATAGGAGTTTTCGTATATCCGAAAATTACCGTTATACGGGAAACCGGGCCAATTTAATCGGATTTGCATTATTTTCAATGAATTGCTTTTTCGTACCAAGGTTTGGTAATAGTTGACAAATCGGTTACCGAGATACACATTTGTGGTCATAAGTGGGCGGCGCCACGCGTAAAATCCAACAATTTATAATAGTCTAATTTTTTTCTCAGTGGTAATTTCAATAATCGATTTTGAGTCAATTAGCTTCAGTTTTCATGCCTCTGTAAATTACCGTTATATGGGCGGTGGGCGTGGCTATTTATTGCCCAATTTCAATGATTTTCAGCAAATTTCTTAGTTGCTTCCTAAGCAAGGCTCGTACAGAGTTTGGTAAGGATTTTAAAGCAGCTACTAAGATACAGTATTTCACCATAAGTGGGCGGGGTCGCACCCCTTTTCCAAAAATTTCATAATAATAATATTTTGTACAAAAATTCTACTTCATATACTAATTTTCATCAATTTGGATAAATATTTACTGAAATATAATGGTTTTTGCATTTTTCGAAAATACCGTTATATGAAAAGGGGGCGTGGTTATTGTCCGATTTCGCCCATTTTCAATAGCAATCTACCTTGGATAAAAGGTAACCTCTCAATTTTTGCTCGAGTTATCGTGTACACGGACAGACGGACGGACGAACGGACATACAGACGTGGCTTAATCGACTCTCTTTTCATTCTGATCATTTATGTATACATTTGTCTATATCTATTTCGATTTCTTTGGGCTGTTACAAACAACCGTTTTGCGAGCAAAGTATTAGTATAATTATTTATTATAGAAATTAAAATTGAAATGCTTGAAATTGAAATGAAGAATTAAAAGTACTCCTTCAAACTACTTGGTATATTTGTGGAATTATCGGAACTCAACGCGATTTTTTAGCAGCTTAAAACTCGCACTTTATTATGCTAGAATTTATTAAGCTATAAAACTGCATACCAAACATTTTTACAGAAATTAAAATTAAAATGCTTGGAATTGGGATGGATAGTTTGTGGAATTTTTATAACTTTTGTACAAAGTCTGAAATTTAAATTTATATGGTATTTGTTAGATACAGAGCTATACTTTCGTATAAAAGTAATGGACCTTAGCTGAAGCTAAGCTACTCTATTAACCCTAAAGCGCATAGTAGTGCCGAGTGGCACCAGTCGGAAGCAAAATTGTGAAAAACCACGAAAGGGGGCGTCCATAAAATACGCATGTAACTAATTCACTAACTCCTGGCAGTGTAGACAGAGTCGGTGGTGAATAAAGCCTAGGGCATTACCTTGTAAAAGTAATCGCTTAAATACACGACAATTAGTCGATCCGTAATCGACGGAGTTCACTTGGTAGCTACCGATTCAACAATCCAGAAGTCGCTCCTAGTGATGTGAATAGTATCGAGTATCGAATAGTATGTATTTAATACTGTTGAGCAATTTGAGTATTCGGTGATTATCGAAAAAATTATGCCGATACTCGATACTCAATCATCTTCGCTAAAATATACTTTCATAACAAGCGTCGCCAAAGCAGTGTAACGGGTTGTAAAATTTACAATTTGAGGAGCAGTGTATAACCAGCTTTCAAAATGATAATTTGCCGGACCACAACGTGGATCAAACTAACGGAAATTCTCTTTGGAGTGATTTTGATAAAAAATGTAAGCAAGCTCACAAAAGTTGTTTAGAGTCTGCCATTGTTGAGGGTAATCAATATATTCAAGAAGATTTATTGGAGAGACATCGAGATCCGCTCACGTGGGGGAAAGCATATGAAAAATATATCCCTAAATAGCTGAAATAGTTAAAACTTATTTATGGTAAGTATTAAAGGTAACAATAAGCTTCAACAGAAGTTCACTAGTTTCTATGTAATGTTTTCGATTGAAAGCGTTTTTACTAAAAAAGAGTCACTATGAGTATTAGTTTTGGATTAAGGGATTTTCAACGGAATAATGTAAAAGTATCGCATACTTTTATTCGATACTTGTTTCCAAACTATCGAGCATCGATCGATACTTGAAACTATCGAAAATTTACATCACTAGTCGCTCCCCCGTACTGCAGGGATCCTAGAGCAATATTGGAAACCCTCGTCATCTTCGGAGAGTTCCTTCGCAGCAATGAATAGTGGCTTCTGATTATTACTCCTTCTCCTTGCTACTTTTGCCCTTTTGTTTTTTTTTCAGTTTCTTATGGACTCCACGATAAGCGTGAACCCTGTTGAGTCCGCTAACAAAAATTTTGCTATATTTGGAATCAAATTTTCAATTAATTTATATTAAGGCACAAATAAAAGTATGCTTAAATTTGCCTCATGCTTCGATCAATGCCTCCTGATGATCTGAGTCGATGTTGCTATTCGCTTCATGTAGGGTCCCTCTTTGTGCAAGAGCATAATTTTTCCAGCTAGTTGGCTTGGATGAGTGAGATCTGAAGGTAGTATGTTTTCTTTACGTAAGCCGCTCTGGCATTTATATTTGTTCAGCTCCCGTACCAGGTATAGTTTTACCGTCTACCGCCATTACTTGGTGCTAAGTATTGTTAGTACTTTCCGTACATTATTTACATATGTATATACTTATATATACTGTGATTTTGTGTGACGTGCTATCGTTAGTGTTCAGATTAAATTAATTTCCAACATATTCCCTGGCAACCGTGCTCATAAATATGTATTGCGCCTCCATAAGCCGTTGGTTTTTGACACTTGATAAGGTGTTCTACTCCAGCGTCTTTTGTGGATAATCATCTGCACAAACTCTTTTGCTTTTATGTGCTGGAAATGTCTGCCTGCTTCGCGGGTGTACCTCCGCCGATATATATAATTAGTGCAAGAGGATATGCTAAAAAAATTAAATTTATTAAATTTTTACAAAAATATTTGCAAATTTATTTCGTTTAAGCTACGACGCACTCCAATTCCAAGAATAAAACATAAACAATAGCAACGAACTTCAAATACATATGTGCATAAATATGTATGTACATATCAAACAAAGTTGTATTTTGACGGATGCGCGATTGGTTTCATAAATTATGGCAAAAATTTCTGGAATTTGTAAAAGCTTTACATACAATAAAACTGAAAATACAAAATTTGGCATGCATTTAATCTTTCTTATTTAAGCAATATTAAAGATTACATACACTTTCTTAATAAATTTGCTAAGCAGCTTCCATAGTTTTTTTCTGGATTTTTGAATGCAGCTCTGTGAAAAAATTGAGCGAACTGGAAATCAGTCTGCCTCAGCGGAGGCGAATTCATATCGTCGCCTGGGTAAAAGATTGTCGTATGTTACGCACGTACGTATGACGCTTACGACAATCTTTTACCCAGGCGAAGATATATATACATAAATATTCATATACATATAAATTCGCCTTGGCCTCAGCTGTTCAATTCCAGTTCCCTCATGTCTCGCACAGGGTTGCATTGAAGAATCAGGAAAAAACTATACGATAACAATTTTTGGAATAATTTTGTACAGCAACTGGTACAGTAACTTGTTTCGTAACATTTGAAACATAACTCGTACATGCTAGGATACAACATACATATGTTTGTGTATGTATGTACATATGTACATACGTGTAGTTCGTTGCCATTGTTTCTATCATAGCACAATAGCACTGGTTATAACGGCGGTACGGAGCAGAATCGCGACGGTAGGAATAGGTGAAAATCGTATACCAGTTATGTATATACATATATTATTACGTTCCGTACCAACAATAACATATGGAACAGTGTTTACAGCTTTGGGTTTGTTTGATAGTTGAAGAGAATAAAGTTGTACACAGAAAATAGATTTATTTGTGTAACGAGGAAGATATATTAATATATTTATGTTTCAAGTTTGAATATATTTGCGCATTATTTTTGCTACAACAAAAACTGTCAAATCGTAGTCAGAAAACGGAGAGGACCTAAAATCAACAGATCTTTACGATTTCCGCCGTTCGCGCCGTCTTTCCCCGTCCTTTATAACCAGGGACGCCAAGAGAAAATCCGGGTTCGGTACAAAATATAGAAATGACCATCATTTGCATGTGAACGCTTTTACATTTATTAGAATATGAATATTGAGTAACCAAATTTATTAACATAGCAAAATACATAATTTCTATATTCCAACTTAATTTTCGGAAAAATCTGGGCCCTTAGAAAACTTTACTAAAGTATAACAGAACAGAACAGTGTGAAAGTTGTATCAAATCCTAAATACTATAAATTTATTACTTGTTCGACGCAGAACAAAATTAATTTGAGATTTGATTCGTCGGACAAATAAAAAATAAAATTTATTTATGCTGGATGGATAACTAAAAATTAAAATTTCTATTTTTGTTTTATTCGTTAACCAAATAGAAAATAAATTCCATTTTGATATGATTTGCTTTTATTCTACCTCTTTTTGGCGATGGTGACATTGTGACGGTGAGCCTAGAGGGTGCAACCGGAGAACTCTGATTGATCTCTGTTTATATGGCGCACGAGGATGGGGTGGAGCCACCTCCGCGCTTAATAAGGAATGCAGTGCCAGGAGCTAGACGCAGGAGAGCCCGCGTTGTTATTGGGTCTGACGCGAATTCCCATCATACGATTTGGGGCAGCTCAGACATCAACACTAGAGATGAGTCACTCTTTAACTTTATTCTAAATGAAAATTTATGTATATGTAATAGGGGGAGCGACCCCACTTTTGTAACGGAAAGTAGAGAAGAGGTTTTAGATATCACGCTGGCCGCTTCTGATATAATGTCCCGTATATCTGGCTGGAGAGTCCTTAGTGACCACTCCTTCTCCGACCATCGGTACATACAATTTGCTTTGGACGAAGCGTGTTACCACAAAGGTAAGAGCAAACCGCTCTGGTAGGGCCAGGAAGAGTAAATTAGCCTCCGATTGGGCACTGTATAAGATTGGGCTTGGGATATATAAGTCCGAGATTAGGAAAGCGAAGAGGGCGTCGTGGAGACTGTTCTTCGAAAGTGTGGAGCGCAGTCAGGATTCAAGGTTTAGGCGAGTTCTCTGAGAATCCCGCTCCCCTGGGATACATCAGGGATGAAGGGGGCGGATGGGCAATGAGCAGCGAGGAGTCTCTTCGGATGCTCCTTGATGCTCATTCCCCCGCCAACCCGGATCCGGGAGGGATGCGGTTGGAGACGTCGATCCCCGAGACGAATGTCTCGGAAATCCTAACCGTGGATCGCCATCTGTAGGCCATTAGCTCGTTCAAGCCCTTTAAGGCCCCGGGCCCCGATGGCATAATACCGGCCCAACTGCAAAAGTGTCGTGCCGCTGGTTGATGCTCATTTTCGAGGGCTGTTTGGCTAAGGGTCATGTTCCGGTGCCTTGGAGGGTGGTCAGAGTGGTGTTCATTCCCAAGGCAGGTAAAGCCTCTCATGTATCACCTAGGGATTTCAGGCCGATAAGTCTCTCCTCGT